CTTCCTCCCTCCCTTCTTTCTTTCCTTCTTTTCTTCCTTCTTTCCTTCTTTCCTTCTTTCTTTTCTCTTTTCTTTCTTCTCCCTCCCTCCCTTCTTTCTTTCTGACTTCTCATCTCCCTCTCTCATTTCTTTCTTTCTTTTTTCCTTCTTTCTTTCCTTCCTTCCATCCTTCCTTCCTTTCACAACCATGACCTGGATGACTGAGAACCTCTACAGATTTTAAGCAAGTATTGGAGCGCATGACACCCAATGTGTCACTGGAAGGTAAAAACCACAAAACGGTGTCTTATTTATTTTGGCCCTGTCGTGCAGGGGAATTGACTGGAGAAAGCAATTTTTGGAAGAAGAGTTGGTGGGGAAAGGAAGACAGGTGGCCGAAGGACATGGTGGCTGGACACCATCAAGGCTGACATGAGCCAAAGCGTAGAGCAACTCAAAGGAGTAGTGCAAGATAGTGCAAGATGTGGAGAGGCTGGCCCATAGAATCATCAAGAGTTTGGACACGATTGAATGGATAACGTTATCCTCATTGTCGTCGTCATCATCACCACCATGGCCATGAACACATCATCCACTGTGTATGGTCCATGAAGATTATGGCCTATCAGTAAATGTTCATGAGATGCAATTCCCACATTCGCTGTTTCCAACTGCTGTCTTCAGGTTCTTCTGACCCCATGACCACCACCACCCCTGGTCCTCAATCTGGTCAACCTTTTCCATATTCCAAATGGGAGAGAATGGTCGCCAGGCTCCCCCAATGCATATTGTTGGGTGAAAAAAGAAAAAAGAGATTCTTATCCAGAATGGGTAGGAAAGTACTTCTGCCTCATGAAAAGTGTTGCATTTTGGGTCCATTGGTTATTTTCCCCTCCTTTCCCTCTCCCTCCCTCCCTCTTTTTTTTCTCTCTCTCTTCCTCCTCCTTCCCTCTGTTTCTTTGTTTCTTTCTTCTCTTTTCCCTCCCTCCTTTCTTTCTTTTTCTTTCTTCCTTCCTACTCCCTCACTCTTTTCTCTCTCTCTTTCTCCTCCTTCCCTCTGTTTCTTTTTTCTTTCTTTTCTTTCTTCTCCCTCCCTCCCTTCTTTGTTTCTTTCTTCTCTTTTTCCTCTCTCTCTTTTTCTCTCTCTCTTCCTCCTCCTTCCCTCTGTTTCCTTTTTCTTTCTTTTCTTTCTTCTCCCCTTCTCCCTCCCTTCTTTGTTTATTTCTTCTCTTTCCCTCCCTCCTTTCTTTCTTTTCTTTCTTTCTTCCTTCCTACTTCCTCCCTCCCTCCCTCTTTCCTCTTTCTCTCTCTCTTCCTCCTACTTCCCTCCATTTCTTTTTCTTTCTTTTCTTTCTTCTCCCTCCCTTCTTTGTTTCTTTCTTCTCTTTTCCCTCCCTCCTTTCTTTCTTTTTCTTCCTTCCTTCCTTCTCCCTCCCTATTCTCCCTCCCACCCACCTTCCCTCCTTTCTTTCTTTCTTTTTTCTTTCTTTCTTTCTTTCTTTCTTTCTTTCTTTCTTTCTTTCTTTCTTTCTTTCTTTCTTTCTTTCTTTCTCTTTTTTCTCCCTCCATTTCTCCCTTCTTTCTTTGTTTCTTTCTTCTCTTTTTCTTCCCTCCCACATTTCTTTCTCTTTTTTCTTCCTCCCTCCATTCTTTCTTTCCTTCTTTCCTTCCTTCTTTCCTTCCTTCCTTCTTTCTTTTCTCTTTTCTTTCTTCTCCTTCCCTCCCTTCTTTGTTTCTGACTTCTCATCTCCCTCAATCATTTCTTTCTTCTTTCTTCTTTCTTCTTTCTTCTTTCTTCTTTCTTCTTTCTTCTTTCTTCTTTCTTCTTTCTTCTTTCTTCTTTCTTCTTTCTTCTTACATCTTCTTTCTTTCTTTCTTTCTTTCTTTCTTTCTTCTCCCTCCCTCCCTCCCTCCCTTTCTTTCTTTCTTTCTTTCTTTCTTTCTTTCTTTCTTCTTTCTTCTTTCTTCTTTCTTCTTTCTTTCTATCTATCTATCTATCTTTCCCTGCCTCCCTCCTTCCTTCCTTCCTTCCTAAATCAGCACATTATTTTTACCCTCACCCCCCCCTCTTGTTTTTCCTCAGTTGCACATCTATGGTTTAGCCCTGAAATTTCCATGGAAACATCAGAGATGAAGGTGAAAACTTCAACTCTCTTGTGAGACCAAAGGTTACCCAGTTCACGTCTCCTGTGAACAGCTTGAGGATAAGTCTTCCAGCTGCTGTCACTTAAGCTAAATCAAGGCTCGATCTGCCTCTGTGAAAAGGATGGGCTTGCAGGTTTGGGGATCTGAAGCCATCGCTGGAAGGAGAACCGTTGAATTATTGAAAGCAGACCTTAAAGAGTTGATTGCTATTTTGATCCAAAAGCAAATAAAACACGAGCACAACAAATGTAAGAATAATATTGTTTTATCAACAATTTAAAGGTCCCTTCCACATATGAATGCAGGTTCTGTGAGATGTTTGAAGGCCCAGGATGCATCAAACTGCCCCAAATTCAAGAGATCAAATTGTTTGGTGTGTTAAAAGTTGTCAGGCATGAAGAATGAGAGCCACACATGAAATTCCAGTGAAAGTGATTTATTGCTCATGTCTCTACACAAGAATCTGGTCACCTAAGGATCAACAAGGGAGGTGCTAAAACCACTCTAATAAACCCTAGTAAGACCACACCTAGAATCCTGCATCCAGTTTTGGTCACCACACTATAAAAAAGATGTGGAGACTCTAGAAAGAATGCAGAGTGGAGGGGTCAAGCTATTCTCCAAAGCACCCGAAGGCCAGACATGGAATAATGGATGGAAACTGACCAAGGAGAGATTCAACCTCAAAATAAGGAGGAACTTTCTGACAATGTGAACAATCAACCAATGGAACAGAAGTTGCCTTCAGACGTTGTGGGAGCTTCATCACTGGAGGCTTTCAATAGGAGACTGGATTGCCATCTGTCAGAAATGGTGTAGGGCTGTGACGGCGAACCTATGGCACACATGCCCAAAGTGGCACATTCATTCATTTCCTTTATTCATTTCCTTTATTTGTATGCCGCCCTTTTCCCTGGGGGGACTCAGGGCGGCTCACAATTCAAAANTGCGGGGGCAGTGAATGAGGAGGGGTCGCACGCACTTGTGCAGGGGGGGGGCGGGTGAATCATGCGCATATTGCGATGACCAAAAGGTTAACCATCACTAATATACATTGTAATGAGTATTATTTATTTCTTTAAATATTAAGAAACATTCTAAATACCATTGATCTGAACAGCCAGGCAGCCTATTTAATAAGGGTTGAATTAGCTGGGAGTATACAGTAATTCCTTATATAATCTAATCATCAAGAAGACATATTTTATGGTTTCATTTCAAGAAAGGCAGAGAGGTGTTTCTATTTACCATCTATGATTGCAGAGGGAAGAGCATTGAAGCATCTTAAGAAAAAACCTGGCCATATTTGGGTCATAGTAATTTGTATAAGTATTGTGTGGGTTGTCGTTTCCTTCTTTTATTATAAAGTCAACATAGCCTTGGGGCAGCCACAAGTTTATTCTGGAGCTTCCTATCTTCCAGGCTTTGCTTGATAACCATTTTATCCAATCAGAGACATTCCCAAATGGAGACGTTTGCTGGCTACGGTTCTGGACCATTTGGGCTGCAAGATATTTTGCAGTAAAAAGAACAGTAGCCCTAGAGAAAATTGATTTTCAGCCAGTAAGATGTTATTGCCAATTTCAGTGAGTAGTCCAGTCTCCAGTCTAAGTAAAGCATTAAGGAGTTATCTTAGCATTAAAAAAAAACATGGCTCTCAAAAATGTGACTGAATTATTTCATATAAATGAAAGTTTATACAGTGTAAGGCTGCAGTTCTACATTCTTAAGTTTCCCACTGTATCTTTGGAAAATGTACCATTTTATTAGACTGTATTCATAAAGTGTGACTTCTTTATTTAGAGCAAATGTTGTAAAGTCAGTTAATTAATCACATGCATTTTGATTAATAGGCAAACCAGTACTTCTTTAATTGGGTGCTAATGAACTAAAGACCCTGACACCTTGGAAAAGAACCAGTACAATATTCAGAGTCTAGGCCAAAACTAAGAATAACTGACCTGCTAAAATAAAAGAATAGTTGATGGTTGGATTTTAGTGAGTCAAATAATGGCTCTGTTAGCTAAATATTTATTACCCCGGGCACTAAACAATCCTAGGACAAAGAAAAAAAATTAATGTTTAACCTTCAGGAGTTCCCTTATTAAACAGAGGCAAATATTTAATGGGAAGGAATATAGCTGTTGTTCATAAATTTGCAGGCATAAGAAGGTTAAATATTTGCTTGGGTGCCATGAAACAGTCCCTTCTTCTCCATGTGTGATTATATTTATTGCTAAACATATTAGCTTCTTCCCTGCCCTTAGCACTGTATAACTTGAGGTGATCTTGAAAAAAAATGTTTAGTTTAGTCTTGTTCTAGACAAGGTAAGGCAGGGATAGACAACCACTGTCCCTATTTGTTTCATTTATTTTTCAATGTCTACCCCAGTGTTTCTCAAAATGTGGTCAGAGAAACCTGGGGGCCTCCAAGCCCTGTTCAGAGGTCCACAAATTATTAATCAGACTGTTGAAAAATAATACACCACCAAACAATTGTGAACAGTGGCAGTGAATGCATCTCTTTTAGTTTTTAATATGGTAAAGATTTTCCCTCTCCAGTCGTATCTGACCTTAGGGGGTGATACTCATCTCCATTTCTTCACTGAGGGGACCANCACAAGTGTCCAAACTTGGCAACTTTTAAGACTTGTGGACTTCAAGTCCCAGAATTAAACTTTTAAGACTTGTGGACTTCAAGTCCCAGAATTAAACTTTTAAGACTTGTGGACTTCAACTCCCAGAATTCAGCTTTAAGACTTGTGGATTTCAACTCCCAGAATTCAGCTTTAAGACTTGTGGACTTCAACTCCCAGAATTCTAAGTTATGTACCGCTTTAGCACTTAGATGGCCTCCTCCTTTTCCCGTGTAGGTGATGACTCCACAGGAGAGGATGAAAATCAAAGACCTGAAGAGGTGCGATTTCAGCGACATCCATAACTACTTTCTGGAAAAGCAAGAAGCCCAGAAGGCTTTGCCCAAGGAAGAGAAACAGGTGTGTAGACATGATTGACGTTGGTAGAACCTGAGGTCTTTTTCACTCTCGTTGAAAAACGCAAGCAAAGCAAACCGGTTGTTACATCGGTTGAATCCCATCAATGAATAAGACTCAGCATTGGTGACAGGAAGGGCAATGGGCCAGTAAACACTTAGCTTCATTCAGTTGTCCATCGCGCAAGGGATTATGAGGTTATTAAAAGATGATGATGAGTGATTCACTTAACAGCTGCGGCAAGAAAGGTGGTAAAATGGAGCAAACTCACTTAGCTAATGTTTTACTTAGCGACAGAAGTTTTGGGCTCACTTGTCGGTTGCAAATCGAGGATTGGCTGTAATCCCCTTTGTCTCTCCTTTTAATAGAGGTTGAAAGAGGAGGCAGAAAGAATCCAGGAGGAATACGGTTACTGCGTAATTGATGGGCATCGGGAGAAGATCGGGAATTTCAAAACCGAACCTCCGGGTTTATTCCGGGGCCGTGGGGATCACCCCAAAATGGGGATGCTGAAGAAGAGGATAATGCCGGAAGACGTCATCATCAATTGTAGCAAGTGAGTCTGGAATTGTGCAACGATCAAGTTGCCATGGTGAGGAAAGGGGTGGGGCAGGGCGCATTCCACGCATACCTTTGGCTAGAGTCGGATCTCAGCAGACTTGTGAGGGGTGCACCTCGTTGGAGAATGTGATTCATGACACAGACTGAGGGGAGGGAAGAAACGAGCAATGTTCAGCCATAATTTAAATGAGGTCAAGATCTGACTTCAATGGGGTATTACCGAAATGTGTTCCTAATAAAGGACTGGTTTTCTTTTGAAACTTGGCTCGAGGCTCGTGAATCAATTAGGGCATCTGTGGGAAACCTGACAGATGGGTCTGTGGGCAGCGATTCCGAAGCTTGGCAATTTTTAGGATGGGTGGACGTCAACTCCCAGAATGCGCCAGCCAGCATGCTTTAAGATTGAGTGAAGGACTTGACGTTCTCACTTCCTCCCTCCTCCTTATTTAAAAATTCCGTTCTGGTTAATTGAAAGGGAGCGAGTTTGCTGTAGTAGTTAAGTAGTACTTAAGATGACAGGCTGAGGGATGGTGAGTTCTAGTCCTACCTTAGTCCTGAAAGCTGGCTGGGTGACTTTTGGCAATCTCTGGAAGATTGTGAGTTTTAGTCCTGTCTTAAAGCTGGTGGCTTTGAATCAGGAGACCGTGAGTTCTAGTCCAACTTTAGGCATGGAAGCTGGCTGGGTAACCTTGGGCCAATCCCTAGAAGGACTACGAGTTCTAGTCCTGTCTTAGGTATGAAAGCCAGTTGGGAGACTTTGGATCAATCGTTAGGAGACAGTAAGTTTTAGTTCAGCTTTAGGCATGAACTTGGTCCAATCACCAGGAGACGGTGAGTTCTAGTACTGCCTTAGGCATGAAAGCCTGCTGGGTAACTTTGGCCAATCACCAGGAGATGGTGAGTTCTAGTCCAACTTAGGCATGAAAGCCAGCTGGGTGAACTTGGGCCTATCAATAGGAGATGGTGAGTTCTAGTCCAATTTAGGCATGGAAGCCAACTGGGTGGCTTTGGGCCAGTCACCAGGAGATGGTGAGTTCTAGTCCTGTCTTAGGCCTGAAAGCCTACTGTATGACTTTAGGCCAATCGCCAGGAGGCTGGGAATTCTAGCCCTATTTTGGGGCATGAAAGCCAACTGGGTGACTTTAGGCCAATCGCCAGGAGATGGTGAGTTCTAGTCCCATTTTAGGCATGAAAGCCCACTGTGTGACTTTAGGCCAATTGCCAGAAGGCTGGGAGTTCTAGTCCCGTCTTAGGCATGAAAGCCAGCTGGGTGACTTTAGGCCAATCGCCAGGAGGCTGGGAATTCTAGCCCTGTTCTGGGCATGAAAGCCAGCTGGGTGACTTTGGGCCAATCGCCAGAAGGCTGGGAGTTCTAGCCCTGTTTTGGGCATGAAAGCCAGCTGGGTGACTTTGGGCCAATCGCCAGAAGGCTGGGAATTCTAGCCCTGTTCTGGGCATGAAAGCCAGCTGGGTGACTTTAGGCCAATTGCCAGAAGGCTGGGAGTTCTAGTCCCGTCTTAGGCATGAAAGCCAGCTGGGTGACTTTAGGCCAATCGCCAGGAGGCTGGGAATTCTAGCCCTGTTCTGGGCATGAAAGCCAGCTGGGTGACTTTAGGCCAATTGCCAGAAGGCTGGGAGTTCTAGTCCCGTCTTAGGCATGAAAGCCAGCTGGGTGACTTT